CATAATTTCATTGGTACAAACTTTGAGTTCTTGGAGTTTTTGGCTGCCCAAATCCTCCCCTGCTTCTTTTTCTGCGAGGTGATCTAAGTCACCGACTTGCTCTGAATCAGTAACTATGCCATCTTCACGCTCACAACCTTTTCCCTCTGAGCAGCCGGAGTCGAAACCAGCGGTGGAGCCATCTGAAGGACTGACAGCAGCACAGGCTTCACTTTCTGCTCTGTGTGTTCTCAAAGAAAGAAATGACAAATTAGTATCTCTTGTATTTTACATATACAAGTCAGTTTTAAAAAGTCATTTGAATTTTTATAAACCTCTTCTGAAACGGTTATTTGACATCTTGACTCGCAATGAAAACAGCACTTTGCAATCTTAATTTTTCTCTTTGTCCTGTGATTTTCAATTCTGGAAAATAAAACTGTCTAAACTGAACTCCAACTAATCATTAACTGAAGTTCATGGTGTTTAAATTTTAAATGAGCAAAACTGTTACGTGAAACCTCTCTTTTAGGTAAAATATAACTAATGTAACAGTAGTTGTGTTGATGTTCCTTTCCAACACTGCCTGTTGCTAAAACAGTGTAAAACTCTAATAAATGTAAAAATGTAATAAATGTAATATTACACTTACCTTTCATCTCCTTTACAGTGACTAGGCTGAAGCTTTATCTCTTCCTCTCTCGGCTCCCCGTTCTGCCCGTCTGCTGGGATGGATGGAGGTGAGGATGGTAACGGGAGTGAAGATGTGTTTTCTTCCACAGTCACAGGCTCAGCTGTGTTCTCGCAAATAGGTTTCTCCACTTTATCCTCTCTGTTTTGCTCGTTTTCACGCTTTTGTGTCATTAAAAAATGACTCCGCTCCTTCTCTGTCAGGCCACACATGCCCATCCTTCGCTTTTTCTTGGCTGGCAATCCTGCTACCGACCCCTTTGTGACATCACCCAACCACAAGTTGGTAGGTTCTTCTGGACCAGTGTGTTGATTGCTCTCCACATCAGAGTTCTCCTTTCCATTCAAAGCAACCGGGCAGGACTGGACATCTTCTTTGGTGATAGGCGAGAAGACCTTGAGCTGATCTGTGCGTGTGTCATACAATGATCTGTTACATTCATCTAAATCCATTTCCTCCTCATTTGTTCCACTCTTGTTGGTGAAATTTTCAGAAAGTACTTGAAGGTCCTCCAGCTGAGAATCA